AGTACCTGTTTTTTTTAAAAAAAAAAAAAAAAAAATAGACCAGCAGGTGGCGTGGTGGTTAAGGTGCTGGACACTCCCACATGGCTGACCACAGTTTGAGTCCCTGACCTGGTGGTTTGCTCTTTCACTTTCGTTTTCTCTTCTCTCTGGTCAAATTAAAATAAAGTGAATAAATAATTCCTAAAAAAAAAAAAAGGGGGGGGGGCAGGATAATTCATTGAGGTTTTCTTTCTTCCTTACATTAAGTGAATACTGTCTTCTTCCCTGAATCTAGCATGCCCAAGAACTCAGAAGCAGGCAACAGTAAGTACTCGACCTGCAAATGTCTTTTTAATGACAGGGGGAGGCACACCGTCAGCAGCGTCTCACGTAGCAACCCCTGGCCTCCGCCTTCCCAGCCAGCCAGAGCCATCAGTGAGGTCCAGGCCAACCGGGGCCAAACCCACCGTCCTCCACGTGGATCTAGCATCGCTCGAGCAGCGCGTCACCCCTGCACCACCGAGCCAGCCCCCACATCGTCATTCCTAACTGCCACTTCCCATAGAACGAAGCCAGGATCCTTGGAGTACATGAATGTCCGGGTCCGGATTACGACCAAGATTAGGTCGGAACATCTTGTCACAACAGAAAACAAGAGGCCTTCAGGTCGCCATCCGCAAATCGCTGCACCCGTCTGAACCAGGGAGCTCCCCAGCCTAGACAGGAGGCTCGAAAACCATGACTGCGGTTGCTGAAAACACGTCAGACGGATAAAGGTCCGGGAGATCATAGAAGGGTGCTAGTTCGAAGCGGGGTTCACCTCTGGAGAATGCTGGAGACCAACTCATTCTGAGCTCAAATACCAAGGGCAAAACCATGCAGAACTTGTTCTGTTCACATCGTATTTCAGGGTAACCCAGTAACCAGTTTTCTTATAGAATTTCAAGTAACAGGAGGGGGAGACTTGTTATACCCCTTCTAACGCTCATCAGTGGCCACTAAAATCCTGAGGACAAAGACTGACAGGGAACTTGAGAAAGGCTGAAGAACCTGACACACAGAACCCACGGTCCGGGGCTTGGCATGCCTGCAGACTGAGCACCAGACACGAGTCTCCAGAGATGATGCGACAGGGAGCGCAAAGCCCTCCACCTACCCTGCACCAACTGCCCCCGAGTCTGTGTGGGGATCTTTAGGTTCCCAGACAACGTCCCTTGTATGGTAAAACTGCACCTGGACTTCAAAATCTTTTTGCACCAAGATCGACTTATTCTTTAATTCCATCTTTACACAAGCTCTTTGGAGTCCCTTCACACACTAAGCACTGGTTTAATTTGCCAGTCTACAGGACAGAGAGGATATATAAACTGGCTAAATGAAACTAAATTTGCCATACACCCAAACAAGGACGTCGAGAACTTCTACAGGACAAGAGACCCAGCTTCAATAAGTATCATAAAATGTGTGAGAGGATACGAGAGAGGCCTAAGGAGCCTGTGGCCGAACGGAACGCTGTGACGTTGCAGTTCAGGTCCTGACTGCAACGTATCAGCTGCAAGAAGACGTTTCTGAGGCTACCAGGAGATGCACGTGTGGGCGAGCAGAGAGTGGTTATGAGACACTCTTCACTAAGCTAACTGTGGTGATGAGAATGCTAAAGTATCTTAGAAGTGAAATAAAATCACGTCCAAAATTTGCTTTAAAATACCTTGGAGAGGCAGGTCGGCGTAGCAACAAGACGAGCGAAATGTTGCTCACGAGAACATGATGTCTCACCAGCCTATTATGGTATGTTCCAAACACACAGTATGTATGGAACAGCATTTGGAACATACAACAACAGACTGATAAAGGGTTGGCCTTACAGCATAGCAGTTAAGCATTGTGCATAGAAGGCTGGATCCCACATGGCCAAGTGTGGTTCAAATCTCAGCCCTGGAAGCTAGAAACACTCCAGGACTATGTGTGGATGCCCAAAATCTCAACAAAATAGAGAAATGGAGGAGAAAGGATTGTGGCAATGACCACACCCCTTTGAGGGGGCCCTTTTTCTTTTTCTGTGCCAAGCACTTGCACCCTCTGGCAATTAAAGGGAGGAGAAACCAGAAACTTAAAGGCTGATTCATGGGGAGGGTTCCTGGCTCACATCTGAAGACCTCCCTGAGCACATCAGGGCAAGTGGATGCCCATGATCTGGGGCTGGCGGGGCTGGAAGTGACTCAAGGCACGAAGATCCTATAGGAGGTGCTTTCTGTGTCACTCACAGAATAAACAGATAAACTTGGGGGAAAAAAACCCAGAAACACAGTCAAGACCAAAACCCAAGATTGCAAAACACCAAATCTATATTTACATCCATAAAATAACATAACTTTAAGCTGAAATATATCATAAATAAAACAAGTAATGTCTACTGTTTGACAACTTAAGTATCAACAATTAAAATAAATCAAACTGGAATGAAATAAATACATAAACAAAAAATCCAACAAATTGTACCTCTATTATATGTACTGTTGTCTCAAGGAAAAACAAACAAAAAAAAACATACAAAACCAGTAGTATTCCAAGAGTTAATACTGATGGACAAAGACATATTTTGAAGTACAAAGGGCTGTAGAAAAAATTGATACTTGATGCATTCAGAAATGTGGTAAGAAAAGAGAAGTCTGAAAGCCCCCAAATTTCAGCATAACACAAACTGACTTCTTTTTAAATAGATTTGGTGATTTTTTTTTTTTTAATACAGGTTTAAATTTCAGCCCTCTATTATTCCATCCCCCTCTTAGATTTACATTGCCGGTCACAGCAAGCTTTCTGCAACACTCATTGGATTAGGCAAGGACTGAGTCGATCATCTTGCAAATGTGTTAATCTTCAAAAATAGGCTATAAAAGTGCAAAACTAGGAAAACAAAATCTAGTTATGTACATATGGCTCAGCGTGTGAACAGGAAGAACGGTCAATAGTGTACACTTTCCTGATACGAAGCCCTTCGCCCAGCGCCAGCAGGCTGCTCTGATATCCCGTCTCCCTTTCCACGGGAGTTCAGAGTTCTATCAAGGACACATCATGTTGCATTTAAAAAAATTTAAAAAAAAAATATATATCAGGATTCTTTTGGGACTTACCCTTGCTCTAACGGTGAAGAGCTGGGCACAAAAAGTCAACAGTGCAAATTTCTTTTTGAAACAGTTTCTTCATAAAATATTTTCTGATTGCTAAACCTATGTATGCTGAGTAAGCTCAGTCACAGACAGCACTTTAAAGGAAAACAAAAGTTTAAAATATCTAGTAAACCAGCTGGTGGCTAACCTCTCTAAAACCCGGTCACATGTGCACTCAGAAAAACGATGCTGCTTCACAATGACCGAGGCCTATAAACAGCTCCTCTCCTCCCCAGCTCCCTGGAGGATCCTCTGGCCGTTCCTGACTTAGAACCAATGTGGCTGGAAATGAACTGTCACAGGTCTGCAGCAAACCCCAGGGCCCGGCACACCAAGACTGCCAGTACAAACCTAAAATGTTCGCACCCCCTTTTAAAATTGCACCCCGATATTTGTAATTCACATGTATAGTTTAGCATTTACCTTTTTACATACCAATTTAGGCAAATGCTCAAAAGAAACTAAATTTCCCACCAGACATGCTTATTTGATAGAAAATAAATCAAAGCACAGTTTGGTAGATTTGTTCAATATCTGCTGCTCTACAGAAAAAATGCTTCTCCATAGAGAAATCCCATGAGCCACCCCGCACCCTCAGTGAAGGGCACTGGTGGCTTCCAGACAACAGAGAGAAAAGAGGCGCCTTCCTCAGTGACATGCTGACATCTACGATACGAGGGTGCCCGGTTCAGAGTGGTCGACCTCAACACACGCAACACACAATTGAAGAGTCAATACTTCCATTACAATTTTGTTAAGACAACAAAAGATTGCAGAGGATTCAACGTGATACAAATCATTAACAATTTCTTTTAAAAAACATACATTTTAAATGAAAGAGCACAAGTAGAAAAACTGCTCAAAGTGATGAGCTACATAACAAGAAAAGGAATACACACAGTATTTAAACAGGCAGGTTAAGAACTGAGATATCGGAGATATTTACAGGCTTTTACCTGAGGTGCAAGCATTATATACTTTCCCCCTCCCCCACCCCAAATGATTTTTCAGCAGCGCTCAAGTATGCAAAAAAAAAAAAAAAAAAAAAAAGAATCCATTTATTTGGTCAATTCTAAAAAAAAAAAATATATATTATTCAGGGACAATAGAGATCGCCAGTCCCCATATAGCCAACTGTTCCGACTAGTTTTTATTGCTATTTGGTACAAAAGTTAACAGAACAACTTTACAAAACTGTAGTGTTCCTTTTCTGTTCCTGTTGTATGTACAGTACAGTCACAGCTTATTTCAGTAGCTTTCACCATATGCTTGCTCAAAGGGTAACTTCATGGAGAGTATGCGCTTACATCCATCAAGACCTAAGGAAAAAGATTTAGACAGAGATTTTTTAAAAAGTCACAGCTTAAAAAACTAATTTACAACAGCATAGTAAATAATCATTAACTAAAGGAACCTGGAAAAGCACTGAGTTCTATTTGAGCTCAAATTCACAAGGACAGTATCAGAAGACTAGGTATCCACTATTTAGGACAATACAGTGATGATATAACCAAGAAACAACTTAGTGTCTTCACTGGGCCTGGCAGAGGCAGTCACCACACACAAGATACTGAAGAGTGCAGCACTGCGAACGGGACTGTGAGGAATGGACCGGGAACGTATGCATGTTTTAAAGAATTAAGTTTATTATTATTATTATTTTCAAGTATGCTATAGGGCCTATTCACTCATCAGAAAGACAGACTGACAAAGATAGGTGGAAAGTGAGAAAACAAGCTGCTAGGTCCAGGACTCGAACTGCAGTCAACCACAGGGGAGTCTGGCACCTTAACCACCACACCACCTGCTGGCCCTGGACCAGGAATTTTAACAAAACATGATATAGAACAACCTCCCACCATGAGGAGTACACTCGCTGTTTAGCCTCTGGAGTTACCAGTGACCTTCCAGCAAAGGGCCTGGTGTTCAATGCAGCCAGTCCCTCACTGAAGTGTAGAGACGGAAGTTGGATATACAGGTGTGACAGGAAAAGGACACGAATCGTGTGCAGAAAGACCCGACGGGGAGCCTCTTGCTCCCAGCAAAGACTTTACAGACATGCCACGAGAGCCACTACTCCTATCCGCAGTCAAGCAAGGAGAGCGTGGGATGATCCAGACCAAGGGAATGAGATCGGAGCATCCCAGTGCTGACGGAGGTCACTGGACCAACAGGACAGCTACCAACTGCTGTGACTGATCGGTCCTAACGTACACTGCAAGTAGCCTGTTACTAGTGATCTGCTCCACGAATCCCTGAATTACTTATTCTTGAATGTTGGCGTAGAGCAATCTCACTCCTGAGGCGTGCTTACTCTCATTCTGCTTCCGTTACCCTGAGTGGGTGAGAGGACACAGAACTGCCTGAGGCTGATGCTGCCAGGGAGCACATCGTTCCCGCACCCCAGCGTGGCCAGTGAAAATAGTCCGGAGAAGACCTCCCCTGAACTGAGCACCTGCTCACCTCCGTATCCTCACTTTAGCAGCACCCGACAAAGAGGTGCTCAACGTGCACATGGGGTGGTTTCTATGGACACAAACTCGCCTGTCTGTGGGTCCCTTTCATTCAAGGTTATGAGTCCAGATGTAACCCGTACGAGGACATTACATCCTCCGGCCAAACTGAATAAACTGTATACACTCGGGCCAGTACCACTGGCTTGTGAGCTTACTGCACAGTTAGGTATGTCTGACGTGTGACCCAACACATCAAAATAAACCTCAGCTTGCTCCTGCCCCAATTCCCTTCTTCCACAGCTAAGGACTTGCAAAGGCCTTGAACAAGCTCTTTTAAGAAGGTGAGGCACTGGCTTTAGATCCTGGTAGCCCTAGGGCAAAAACCAGGCTCCTGCCATACAGCAGGCAGAGGGGGCGTGGGCAGGTTATATACAGTCTGTCTCCTACCTGTAAAGCGTGCAGTAAACACCTAATCTGAGGCCAAGGACTTTTCCTGTAAAGGGTCAGCTAGTAAGTATCTCCAGCTTTGCAGGGCCAGCAGGTAGCATGGAGGTTAACGCCACTGGTCTCACATGTGGTTCGAGTACAAGACCTAGTGGCTTGAAAATCACACCAGGCATGTGTGCGTGTGAGCCCAAAATCCTGAGAAGAGAATGGAGAAGGAGGGATTGTGTGGCCATCCTCCCAAAGGGTGCTTTCTCATCATGCCCCGGCCCCGTGTCTTCATCCTACAAGTATATACAGCAAAAACTAAATGTGAGTGTGTGTGTGTGTGTGTGTGTGTTTTGTTTTCATCTCTGCAGGCTGTGCAGCCTGTCAAACTAACCCAAGTTTGCTGTTATAGGAGGGAAACAACCAAAGATGATCTATAAACAAATGGGCCTGACTGTTCCAATAAAACTTTATTTAACAGCAGGTGGAAGTGGGGCTGGCAGGTGGTTAAGGGCACTGGGCTCCCACATGACCGACCGCAGTCTGAGTTCCAGACCTGATGGCGTACTTTCTCACTTTCCCTCTTTCTCTCTCACTATCCCTTTCCGGTCAAATTAAAATAAATAAAAAGTTAAATAATTAAAAAAAAAAAAACAGGTGGAAGACTAATTTCCAAATTCTGACCTAATGCCCCTGCCTGTAACAAGTAATAAGTAGTATCTTGACAATGAAACACTTGATTCAATGCCTGCCCAAGTACTGGGTCATCGGGAAAGGTGTGACGCATTTTTGCATTGAAAAATACCTTATGACATTTCCAACCACCTAAGAAATGCTCAATAAATTCCAGTCACTGTAAAGACTATTTTCACTATCATCACCGAAATCCTAAGACTCTGATCACACTAATCAAAATTTTAAAATACCTTTAAAAAATCAAAATTAAAAGCAATTTGATTTTACATTATATTGGACAAGCTAGATGGCTCATTTTCAATAAGTAAAATGAATACATTATATTTAATTAAAACAAATGCTCACCTTTTTTTCCCCCAAAATAGGAAATCAAGTTTTTTTGTCATTTGGTCGATAATGTACACTCCCAATAAAATTTTCATAGTTCCTCTTTTGTAGCATGCTGCTAGATAAGTGTTGATAGGACACAGGCCTCTTTCCTGATTAAGAAAGAAAAGGCAAGAAGGGGTGTTAAGAGTTAAGTTCAAGCCATCAGAGCAGGTGTGCATGCGTCATTAGAGGCTGATTTTCAAAACTCCTGACAGACAGAGGTCACATGAAGTGATCCCAACAAACCTGTGTTTGCCATTACAGTCATATTATTTTTATAAGAGCACATGTTCACACAGACTCTTAATTAACTAAAGCTAAAAAAGTCAAAGAAAACAGCAACATTTTCTTGAGAGGTTTTTGCTATATGGCACATACGCTTGCCAGAAAGACAGAGACAGACAGAAAGACAGAAAGCACCCCCCAGGGGGGATGGCCACGCAGCAATCCCTTCTCCTCCATTCTCCTTAGTATCTTGGGCACACACGCACTTGCAACCGGCGTGAGTTTAAGCCACCGGGTCCAGGACTCAGACCGCAGTTGGCTACAGGGGAGTCCAGCGACGTAGCCTTTACGCCATCTGCTGATCCCAACGGCAACATAGTTTAAACCTATATATGAACCATGAACCAAATGCCATGGAGAAGACGTGTATGTGTTATTGGGCCAGCAGGTGGCAGGTGGTTCAAGTACTGGACTCCCACCTAACCGACGGATGCAGTTTGAGTTCGAGATACGATGGCTCAAAAATCAAGCCAGGCACACGTGTCTATGTGCCTAAAATCTTGAGAGGAGAATGGAGAAGGGATCGCTGCGTGGCCATGCCTCCCACGGGGTGATTTCACACTTTATCACTGACTCTCTATGGCAAAAACCTAAGAGGGGGAAAAAAAAAAATCCCATTTAGAAGAACAAAGGGCCTTTCTCCTCAAATAAAGACAAAATTTTGATTCAAGTCCATTTTAAACAATATGGGGGAAGTGCTTTTTAATCAACAGGCAGCAAAAGATTATTATTTCATTATAATTTTTATAAAATTCACTGACGTGTGTAAAAGCAATTGTTTTTTAATTTGCTATCTCTCTCAGACCAATCAGTATCAAGTGATCCTTGATAGACTAATGTCACCACACAGAAAAATTCTTAATTTGACATTAACACAAACGGAAAGGTTTAGAACAGAGTTCTCCTCCTTGGGCAGCACAAACCAGGAACACTTAGGGCTCAACGAGGAAGGAACCCGGATGGGTCAAGTCTGCCAAGCAGGACATGTCCCTGGGATACTGGGCAGCCTCTTCTCAGACACAACCAGACCCCCTACAAATGGCTCCCTAGAGAAAAACAGTTAGTTTTTAGTTTTTTTTTTTTTTTAAGAGAGACTTTTGCCATACGGCACGTATGCGTACCAAAGAGACAGGAAGCAAGAAATCACCCCCAAGGAGGGATGGCCACTCCCCAATCCCTTCTCCATTAACCTCGTGGGATCTTGGGCACACACATACACACACCCAGACTGAGTTTTAAGCCACTGGGTCCGGGACTCGAACCGCAGTCGACTATGTGGGAGTCCAGCGACATAACCATTACGCCATCTGCTGGTCCCAACATGGGCTTTTGATTGAATGGGAGAACTCCAAGCAATCTAAGAAATTAGCAGTACTTACATAGGAAATAATGTCTTTTTTTAAAAAATTCACTTAATTTTTAAGAAAGGCTAAATGTGTAGTATGACCCTAGAAGTCCTCATTCCAAAGCTGTTCAAGAGATGTTAACTAGGGGGACCAGCAGTTAGCGTAATGGCTATGTCGCTGGACTCCCACATAGTCGACTGCGGTTCGAGTCCCGGACCCAGTGGCTTAAAACTCACGCTGGGCGCGTGGGCATGCATGCCCAAGATCCCGAGAGGAGAATGGAGGAGAAGGGATTAAGGCATGGCTATCCCCCCTGGGAGGTGATTTCTCGCTTTCTGTCTCTCTGTCTCTCTCTGTCTATCTGGTGAGTGCACGTGCCCTATGGCAAAAACCTCTCCACAAAAAAAAAAAAAGAGAGAGAGAGAGAGAGATGTTAACTAGTAGTTCACAAACTTCCAGCTCCTGAGGGCAAGGGCTCTCAGGGTGCCTCCTCCACCCTGCTGTGAAGGAATGTGACAGGCTGTACATGCTGCCATTAGAGCAAAGATAGTTTCTGCTCTTAAGAATCTACAGCCTGTGACCGGCAGTTAGCCTAATGGCTATGTCGCTGTATCCCATGTAGTCGACTGCTATTCAAGCCCCGAACCTGGTGGCTTAAACTCATGCCGGACGCATGTGAGTGTGTGCCCAAGATCCCAAAAGGAAAATGGAGAAGGGATTGCAGTGTGGCCATCTCCCCTAGGGAGTGATTCCTCGCTTTCTATCTCTGTCTCTCCCTGTCCTTCTGGAGAACACATGCACCCTATAGCAAAATCCTCTCCAAAAATAAAAGAAAGAAAAGAACAGAACGATCTACAGCCTGTGGCCCAGCTGCAGTGGCTGGGATCACTCGCAGGCCTGGGTGAGTTACAAGACCACCCTGAGCAGGCTGGGTACAGTGGCACCCTATGGTTCTGGTTCACTGGGAGGAAAGGCAAGCAGATGGTGGATGGCATGATGAAACTCTACCAAAAATCTCTCCTGAGCCAACCAGTGGCATGGTCGACTGTGTGGTGCAAGTCCTGAACTAGTGGCTTGAAAAATCTGCCAAGTATGTATGTGTGTGTGTGCCCAAAATCCCGAGGAAAATGAGAATGAAGGAGGGGATTACAGCATGGCCACTTCCCCCACACACACACAGGGGCATGCTTTCTCTCTCTCTGGAAAGAGCACATGCAAAATTAAAACTAAATTTTAAATCTTTCTCTTGGGGTAGGCAGGTGGTATAGTGGTTAGGGGCGCTGGACACCCACATGGCCAACTGCAGTTTGAGTCCTGGACCTGGCGGCTTGCTTTCTCACACTCTCTCTCTGTCCCTCTCTGGTCAAATTAAAATAAAGAAATAAAGTTAAATTTAAAAACTCCTTTAAAAAAATAACATCTTTCTCTTCCCCAGTAGGGGTGGTAATAAGACATGTACAGGAGCCCTCCCAAGTCCCCCAAATCCCGCAGCAGTGTGGGACCGAGTGCGTGAGCACACACGAATGTGCGAAAGAGGACAAAAGGCTGTGTATACCCGGAGTGCCCCACTGCCAGGGAAGGAGAGATGAGGCCACTGGGTCCCAGCCACATTTTCATGATCACCCCCCAACAGGGAAAGTCAAGCACCAAGAGAGGCTAAAAATGCAGGGACATTTGACCACAAGCCTTTGCTGTATCTCAGAATGTTTCTCACTGGCCCCTGGGGAGCAGCACCCCACTATGGAATACACGCGCTCAGGCTCAAGAGCCGCTTACACCCAGCGCCCACGCCACGATACCTTCAAGCACTGAGCTGGATGCTGGGCTAGCGGGTCCACACGAGTACAGCGGCCCGGGGCCACCGAAGGGCTTGTGAACAGTCAGCATGGCCGGAGGGTCAGCCTCACCGGAGCTCAGGAACCTCGGCTTGGGGGGCAACACTGAGGATGGCGGGCACACGCACTCCTGGGGTAACAGCGACGTGATGCCCCTGACGACGTGGTACTTGGGGAGGTCGTGGCCTCTTCTGTAATTGGGCCCGGGCTGGTCAATGTCAAGAGTGACCACACTGGACTTCAATCTCTTGGGAAGGGGCTCGCCAAACTCTGCGCTGGCGGTGTTGCTAGAGCTCCGGCCACAGAAATAGTCTCTTCCTGGAGGAGCCCACGGGCTGTCGTTCTTGGGGGGATAGTCGGTGGACCCATTGACGGTACTGGCACCGAGGGCGGGCTGACCAGGGGTGACTGGCACAGGTTTTAGTTTTGCATCAGGTCTTTTTGTTTTATCCGGTGCAGGGGAAACACTGGTTTTAGAAAACATCTCAGGCTGCTGCTGCCTGGCGGCCCCGGGGCCCCCACCACTCTGCGGTGGCCTGTGTGACTTCAGGTTACTTGGGGCTAAAGTGCTAGAGTCTATCCCTGAAGCCGGCGGGACCTTCCCGGGCCCTGGGGGGTTCTGCTTCACCCTCTCCGGTGGCAGAGATTTGGCCTGCGCTGGGAAAGCAGACTTGGGTTTGGGTTTGTGGGGAGCGGACAGGGGAGGCACGTCTTTTCCCAGTAAAGCCGGCGGGCACCCGGTGCGTCTGCTCCGAAGCAAAGACTTGCTCCTACAGTTCTTATGCAGGTCAGGGTTGTACTTATGCTCCAGTCTCTGGTGCATCATTAGAACTTCCGGATAAAAGGTTCTGAAGGTACAAAACGGGCAGGTGATACTTGGGATTAAACTCTTACTCAAGGAGATGGCTGAGCAATTGTGAAGCGCCCCAAGAGACAGATTTAGAGGCTTTTCTTGACAGTCCACGCCTGGCTTGTACCGGCCATCTGTGGCCACCTCTGCTTTCTTCTCTTTGGGGCCAACTTCAGCATTCTGGGTGGCACTGCCATCTGGAGGAGGGGTGGCATCCACTTCTGTTTTACAGAGGAAGTTTGCCTGAGGTTCAGCCGCGGATCTCTTTTTCAACATGTCCACGTAAGCAGGGGGGAGACTTTTGCTCACTCTATCAGCACTGTCATCGGCGGCATTTTTATTGAAATCCTGAGTATCTTTGTGTGCTGGTGAGAGGACAGCGTTGCCCAGAACATTCGGAAAGACAGAAGGCATCTCCTTGAGCTGTTTTGCAGGTGGACTGCCTTTAACATCTTTGGCACCATCAAAAACTCTCTTCAAACTTTTGGTCTGCGCGCCGTCGGCAGTCACTGGCGCATCCTCGGTCTCCTGACCCCGGCCATCGCTCTTGACCTCAGCAGCAGCGTCGCCCTGTTTGTCCTTGTGGTGTCTCTCCAGGTGGTACCTCAGGGATGTCTTCTGGGCTGCGGCGTAGTCACAAAATTCACATTTGTACGGTTTCTCACCTGAAATGGGAAATGTCACTGAATTACAGACGTTTATAAAAAGCACTGAAATGAGAACAGCCTGCTCTAGAGAACACGGGCTCCACTGGTTCCCTGCTCGGTCAGCTGCAATCCAGGACCCCTACCCCAAGTTGGGTGTCACACCTACTAAACTCCGACTTAAACATGTCAGTGTACTTCAATAGAAAAAGGAAAACACTTCAGACGTACTCATTCTTTATAATAGCTCTAAAGAAATGAGTATTACCCCCATTTCACAGCTAGAAAAGTCGGGACACCAACAGGGTAGAAGCAATGTGCCCACGACTGAACCTCCCACTGAATTCAAACACAAGCGCCCGACCACCATGGCGTTCCAGCTGCTTCTAAGTAGAGACTACTACACACATCCTCACTTCATGCTAAGTCAGGGAAATACAGAGGCCAGCAGGTGACTTCGTGGTTAAGGCCCTGAACTCCCACATGGCCAACTGTGGTTTGAGCCCTGGACCTGGAGGCTTGAAAATAACATGCCCGTGTGCACGTGTGTGTGCCCAAAATTCCAAGGAGAGACTAGAGAAGGAATTATGGTGTGGCCATCCCTCCTGGGAGGGTGATTTCTCACTTTCCCTCTGTCTTTCTCTAGCAAGCTCATGGCACAAATCTTTAAAAAAAAAAAAAAAAAAAAAGAAGAAAAAAAAAAAAAAAAAAAAGTAGTAAAATATAAAAGAATAAAAATAACAGCTGCAATTGACATGTGCACACTTTGTCTGAAGCCATTCCAAGGACCCAACAGAACATCTCAACAACAAAAACATAGACAGAGTACTGCATCATAATTATTTTAACACATGCTTTGAAAAAAAAAAGTCCTTTACCTGTATGCGTTCTGAGATGAATATTGAGGTAATAATTTGAACGGAAAAACTTTCCACAATAACTACACTCTCTTGAGGACGTAAGATGCTTTATTTTTCCTCCATCATCATTTTTATCTTAAAGCAGAAACAAAATATGTAAGAAGATGGGTGAAATACATGAGTAAGACATTCGTTGACTTAAATATTCTTAATCAAGTACCTCTGGAAAGCAGTAAAACCGAAAAGGCAAAAAACACACCAAATTCTGTTTTGAAACAGTGTGCAGTTTACCATACATGGACATTTTTTAGGGTTTCCCCCCGGTTATAGAACAGGGCACTATTAACGAGTCGATTCTTTGATTTCATCACGAGCGTGGTCGCCGACCGGAATGAACTGCATGGGCAGTTCTTCCTGTTCTCGGCGTCTCTGAACACGCAGGGGCTGCTGGCGAGCTGAAGTGGATGCACACGCTGGCTGTGGTAACCACCTTCCTCGGAGTAGGCAATAAACACAACAGAGCCCGGGCAACCCATCAGCCCTCCCCACCACCAGGGAAAATAAGCTTTCTGCCTTAAGCTTAAGCTCACTACCACTAGGGGGTAGCAAGCTCAACTTAATATTCAACAGAGAGAACCTGGCATTGGGCAAACAGTTTACCTAGGAAAGTTTTGTCAAAATTAAGCAGTTTTGGAAAAGTAGATTGTATCGTCCACAAACACTCACGTGGGCAATGTATGGGGAGGTTTTTGTAAAGTTTATGAAAAATGAAATTAAAGAGTGCAAAAAATAAATAAATAAATAAAATCCAGTTTTTTTCATAATGTGCATTGTCTATGAAATTTTGGAAGACCTCCCCCTATCTGACAAATTAAAAATCTGTCCCAGGAAATAGTACAACCATTAAAGCACCTGGACCCACATAGGAAAGGTCCTGGGTTCACATCCCAGCAGCTCCCTGAGCACGCCCAGAGTGTGTGCTGATTTGACCCAGGAGACACCGGGGGTCCATCATAGCATGAAGATGTGTGGGGGTTGCCCGACTCCCTCCCTCCCTCTCTGTGCTCAGTTATCCCTTTCATGGAAGAAATCAAGAAGCACTTTGAAAACGTTTTTTTACCACAAAAAATAAAACGGTTAAGGGTTCCAGATCCCACGTGGCCAACCACGCACTTCCAATCCTGGCCCTGGGAGCTTAAGAAGCACACTAAGTAATGTGCTTGTGTGCTCCACTCCTAACAGGATGGAGAAAGGAAGAAGGGATTACATCACGGCCACAACCCTGGGTCAGTCTCTGGGGAGCATACTCACCCTGTGGCAACTAGAATGTCTGCAGCCAGCCAGGTGGCATGGTGGTTAAGGCAGCTGACCTCCAATGGTCAACTGCTCAATTCGAGTCCTGACCCAGAGGCTTGAAAAACAGGCCAAGCGTGTGCGCTCCAAATTCCGAGAGGATAGTGGAGGAGAAAGGGTTTGAGGGGTGCGATCAGCCCTCCAGCCCCCAAGGTACTTTCTCACTCTCTCTCTCTCCAGAAAATGCACATGGTCTATACAAATTTTTTAAAGATAATCTGACCCCTGGGATCAGCAGCTGGCGTAATGGTTACATCACTGGACTCACATGTAGTTGACCAGGGTTCAATTCCCCAACCTGGGTATCTTCTAAAGTCTTCCAAAATTTAATAGACATGTACTCTCTCTGTTCCGCGAGTACATGTGCCCTATAGCAAAAAGCTCTTAAAGTAAATAAATAAATAAAATAAATAATCTGACCCCAAATATCAATGTAAACTTTAAACGTCTCTACTTAGATAATCAGGACAGGGTACGTGTGCACAGCAGTAAAAGCCCCGCAGGTACTCAATGTAAAGAACGATGAGACTTCAAATACACACTAGCTCGCCAAAACGGAAAACAGGTGTGCTAGTTAATAGCACCCAACCCCAAAATGAGTATTTAAGCTCTAAAGAAATGGTCCCTATTCCACATCATACTCCATAATCACGATATGAACAAATGCAACCAAAGTCTGGTCACCTTTTAAAATTCACCATGATCAAACTTGTTCTGCCCACAAAACTGTTACTTCCAATTAAAAGGCCTCTTCCCTCTCTGCCCCTATTTTGCATTTTAGAATGCTATTTATAACTTACTGATTTTAAAAAGCAGTTTATAAAAGCAAATCTTACTGTGCAAGAACCTGCAGTGGTAAAGAAGATGGGATTTCCCTGTTTTCCCTAAACTTCCCTCTAGAGAAAATGTACCCACACCGCCTATGAAGCAGAGAAACCCCAGTCTAAAAGTGTCATGCAGTCTGAGCACAGGTGGATAGTAAATAGGGGAAATCTAGACTAGAAAACCAAGTAAGAACATAAACGAAGGAAAATGAAATAGGGAATGACATGCTTTCTTCCCCACAATCACACCCACGTAGCTGGGTCCGCACCTTGTTGCAATTTCCTACTTGCCATGTGTCAGGATTTATGGCATCTTGCATCAGACCCAAAAAGTTATGAAACGCCTTCATTTGAAAACATGGACATGACATCTCTACAGCTATTTGGCTCCAGCCTTTTAGCATCACTTTGGATTCTACAGCACTGTTCATGAAAGCACTGCGAGCTTTCTACAAATCGGTTGCTGAAACTATCCTGGGGGGTGGGAGGAGGGGAGACAAGGGTCAATGAACCAATTTTGCAAACAGGGAAATCAGGGCACAGAAAGGTTAGGTAACATGTCATCATCTGTCACAAACAAGGCAGCGGAAGAACCAAAACTAAACGCCAGTTGTGGCTCCCACTGACAGCCAGGTGGTCCCCCGCCTCAACGACCAACCCCAGCTCTTCACACCACCCATGGTCACCAGCCAGGTCAGCGCACTGACAG